CGCTATAACCTGCCAGACATCCCAACTCCCCAGGTACCTCTGCAATTTTACCTGCGCTGCTACATCCCCCCTCCCCCAGCCTGTCCCTCACCCCCAGACACCTCCATTTCCATTTTTACTGACTGGCTTTCTTCCCTGCATTGCATACCAGGCCAGCCTCTGGCTTCTTTACTATTCCTCCATCCAGGACCAACAGACACACCAACTACAGGTGCTTCCTCATCCTGACAAAGGGTTTTTCAACCCAAAAACTTGCTAAAATACATTTCTCTAACTATACAGTTGCCATACCAGAAAGATACCAGATTGTCTTACCTGCTGTAATGTAAAGTGGTGGACCAGGCTGAGACTTTAGGGGAGAAGGAAGCCTCATTGGGGCACACTACCATGTTAATGTAGAGGCTCCAGTGCCAGTGAGGGCACACCTTAACACACACACAGTGTCACCCACCCATGTCACGAGTTTTGCCTGTCAGCAGCCGGCGGTGCAGGAACCCAGAACCCAGACTCCCCCTGCACCTAATTCCTTGACAGCTGGCAGGCTTCATGGCCACAGCAGGGCCTAGCAGGCCTGCAGTTTTTACCCCCCTGTGCCTTAAGACAGACACAGTCAGTCACACAAGAACCTATGTCACAAGTTTTGCTTGTCAGCAGCCAGAGGTGCAGAACCCCAGAACCCAGACTCCCCCTTGCACCTATCTCTTTGACAGCTGGCAGGCTTTGTGGTCACATGCTTGCATTTTTCATGCCCCTGTGCCTTAACACACACACAGTGTCACCCATGTCATGAGTTTTGCTCATCAGCAGCTTGAGGTGCAGTTTCCCAGAAACCTCTAGACCGAGCTCCTTGAAACTTGGCAGGCTTCATGTCCTCAGCAGGGGCTACCATCCCTGCAGCCTTCACCTGACTGTGGCTTAACACATATGACATGAGTTTTGCTTTCAAGAATTTGAGGTGCAGTTTTCCAGAAACCCCTGTATCTATCTCCTTGAACCTTGGCAGGCTTTATGCCTTCAGCAGGTTCTACCATCCCTGCAAGTTTCATCCAAATCAGCCAAAACATGTCAAAGTAATAGATATTTCATTGATTACCCATTGTACTCTATGGCCAGATCTCCAAATCTCTCCGAATTGGCGCCAAATCTTTCGAAGCCGATTTGGCCAAATTGAGTTGGAAAACTATCCGAATCTCCAAATCAAATCACTAGCCCCTGAATCAACCAAATCCCAACCAAATAGTTCCATTTCACACAGGCCTAGTATCCGAGTGTATAGTACCCACCAACAAGGTAAACAAGAAAGTGAGTGACCTGCCTCATTATTGTCTTCTAGAAGCACCTGCAATGGACCAAAAGACTGATCTCTGCAATTTGTTATGATAATCATATTTAAAACTCTGATCACATTTAACATATACACCCGAACATGAACATGTTAAGGGAACACAAAAATATTAGAAATAACTTCTATCTAGGATCAATAGCTGGTGTGTGTAGAGACAATGCATACACACATTACATTTTTATTTAAGCATACTTTAGTATTTATTAGCTATAGCAACAGTTAAAACTTACCCGTCAAGCTCCGCAGTTTCAATGTAAGAGAGACCATGTGGTTCACTACCTGACAGAAGTAATAAATCAGCCTGTAAAAAGAAATGACAATATATTGTATCATCTCTGACAAGCTGGAAGTTATAAGAAATGGTTTACATAAAATACTAAGAAGTCTTGAGATACATTATAATGTTCTCTTTATTTTTCTCTAGAAACACTGTACAAATATTTCCTTAATATTCTAAACTTTTGAAATAACTCTTAAAATGCTCTGGATTGACATAGGAGAGTCAGGGACTATGGATAAGCATTTATCTGAAGCACTAAAAATGTCTTGGGAAATTTGCAGCGCCACAAAAACATGGCAAGGAGGAGTGACCCTATGCAGAATCTGGCTCATGGACACACCCTGTGCCACATACCCTGCACACAGGGCCAGAAGGTTGGGCATCACTGTTTTAAACCATAGAAAAAGGAAAGAAAGGGGATGTTTGAGGAGCTGACCACTGTTCATGTGGATGACAAAATATAAACCAGAGCAATATTATCCTTGAAATTATATTTGCAAATGTGTACATTTGGTATTATTAGGCAAACCTTAGTGCTGAGATAACAGATGCATGCAGATAACTAGAGTACTAACATTAATGATATTTAAATGATTCAATAATACATTTGAGGAAATTAAGTACAGGAAAATACTGTCCTAGGAAGGAATAGATTAGATGTCCCAAAAAGGGTTTTTTTTCATTGCTGTTGTTGTAAAAAGTTCCTGCCATGCATTAAGTGTTTATCCAAATACAATTTTGGATGTTCCTGTTTTTACAATGTTTCTCTTGGGTTTTGTTTCTTGTTGTCTTCCCCCCACCCAGAAATTAATAAATCTATGTAGGTGGATTAATCAATATTATTTTTTTTTAAAAAGGGAAAGGCAAAGGCAAGATCTTCGCCCCATGTACTTCAGTGAGCTTCCACTGAAAACACACGGCAACTGGGGCCAAAATCTACAAGACTGAGTTGTTTCATATCTTTGAAAGAACTTTTATCATATAAGAAACCTTGGGAGGATAAACCATTTTACCATGGTAAAAGGACCATGTTAGGACTTGTACAACTGGGCATACACGAACAAATGGAGAAGAGTTATTGTCCATATAAGTATTATGAATAGCTTGGGACATGTGTAACCTTTACCCAGGTGCATGTTTCATTATAATATGATCCTTTTGAGGAATGTAGTAAAAACTATACAGGCTCAAAGAAAAATCTAAGCTCTATGTTAACATGTAAAAGAAACAATATCAACAAGAAGATACACACAAATAAAAATTAAGATGTGGAAAGAATTTGTTACTATTCTGCTCCTCTGAACTATACTTTGGAGAAAATGTTCTGAACTACTTACAGCTACAAATTGATTATTTTGCAGTTTAATGATGTCACCAGCTCTTACATTCATCCATTTTTCATTCTGTAACCTATGGAAAAGAAAACACACAACTAACGTGTCTCCATGTACAGCTTTAGTTAGAGGAAACAAACTGACCTTTTAGTGCTTTTATAATTACTCAATTTTAAATATAAAGTATTAGATTAAAAATGTTTAAGATACCACCTTCAAAACAACCATTGTGCCCTTCTTTTCATAAATCATCTTTAAAACATGCGACTAAGTGTTTTAGAATTCTTTTTTTGGCTGACACTAGTGATGAAGTTAATCAGCAAATGTCCTACCTGATTCCTATAAACTAAAAAGATTTTTGTCATAACAAATGCATGCATCACTGGAAAACAGAAAACAGAGACAATAGGGAAGGGAAATGAGAACAAGAGGCAGAATAGTAAGGAGAAAGATTTAGATTCATAAAATGAAACATGAAAGAAAGAGAGAAATAATGACAATTGAAATAAGCTATTTCTCTGCTTGAACAAAATTCAGTGGCACTGACATGTAGGCCTTCTCTAGATGTTACATCTATTGCACAATTACCTGGTTAACTGAGCAATTAATTGAGACTGGCTACACATGCACATAAACTATGGTGCCTTAAAAAAAGGGCCAACCAGCTATAAAGTTATTGCTCAAAAATGTGCAGAAACTTTATATCTGCTTTCTATACAGCTTTAATTTGCACATGTAGTCTGTACTGCAGCTGGAAGACCAGAGCTGCAGCAATCTTCCAGCTGTAGGAGTGCTGCAGGTCAGAAGTGAGAGGCACCAGTGGGGATGGGGGGCTGTGGGTCGGGAGGGAGGGGCATCAGTATGGGAGGGGGGAGCAGGAAACTGCGGGTCAGGAGTAAGGGGCACCAGCACTGCTGGGAGGTTGTGGCCCGGGAGTGAGGAACAATGGCGGGGGAGGACAGGGGCAGGGCACCAATGTATCAGGGCTGCTCAGTGCCACAAAGCAGCAGGGGGGAGACAGCTGTAGCTGGACCCACGTCTCGGTGAGTGAAGGGGGCAGAGAAAGCTCTCATTTTCCATGCTGAAACAACTAAAATCAACTGCCAAAATATACAGGTATTTGGAATTTATTTTATAATAATGATTGAGGCACTGTTAGGCTTCCAAACGGCTTTAAAGTTATAAATATAACAATAAAAAATTGGGTGCTTAAACACAAGCTTCAGGAGTGGGGGGTGGGGCAGGATCTCAAATTAAAGCAGCTCTGAGAGCACTGTAATTAAAGTGCCAGGAGTGTCTTGTGTATCAGTATCCCCGCACTTAAAAATGGTGGCAAGGGTACTTTATCTAAACTCCAACCAAACTTTAGATAAAGCGCCACACCACCCACATTTTTAAGCATGGGAATGTACATGAGATGCTGGAGGCTGCTGGAGCACAGTAATTACTATCCAGCAGACTCAATTAATCAAGTAATTACAGCATGCCAGATCAGCCTCACTACTCATGTATAGGCACCCTGACACAACACAGACCTAACACCCTAACCTGCCAC